TTTATCTGCTAGGAAAGTTTCAAAGTTTTTGAATGAAGAATTCTTTTGAAACTACGAAAAGAGACGTGATACTGTGAAAAGTTTTTTCTAAACCCTTAATAGTATTGTTCTTGATAGATCCAAAAACAATTTTGTGACCATGATCAACAAAGTATAGCCAAGCGTAAATCCTTATGAGAAAATATGATGAGAACACATAGGAAACTATAATTGAAGACTCGCTACGAGAATGACACACGATCAAATTGCATCGCTTCTCCTTATTTTGAGCCCAAGTATTCCTAACAGAAGCTACTTTCTGTGTTTAAAACTCCGAAATTGTAATATCTGGTAGTGTTGCCGAATGTTATTCATTTTTATTATTAACATGAATTTATTGGCTTTATTAATTCCTTAATAGAAATAAGCCACACAAGTCAAGACTTAATACTAAGTCAGGAAGTAATTGATTGTTTCTTATTTAGTGATTGCCTTGCAGTAAAAATATAGTCGATGACATTTATTTGTTAGAGACTAGATAGGCTAACAAATTACCATACACTAGAAGCAAGCAAATTGTATATATAAATAGTTGCATCAATTATGGAGCATGAAAAACTATTATCCATTTCTGAAAATAAGTCGCTTGGGCAGAATTCTTATAACTTTTGAAAGAAAAATGATAGAGACCTGCGGTTTTCGTCGTTGGATAGAGAACAGCAGGGCACGTATTACTATAAAATAACCGAGCCTTCAAGTAACGGATTTCATGATAAATCTTTGAATGCAAACTCTACAACGCTGAAATTTCTTAGGTTATAAGGGATTTTGATTTCTAAATTGTGAAATCAATAGTCTGAATCGAGAGCTACAATTTTTGACCAGTTCTAGGTCTTTATCACTTACAATTCGAGAGTTATAAGTGTTTTTTGCAAATATATCTACTCGTACTTGCATACAAACAAAAATTTATAAGACATTTGATATGTAAGTTTTTAGGTACGCTGAGATACGTGGCGGTATTTAATTGGAGTTTGGACGACGTTTAATGATCGGATAGGAGTCGATACCTGTACGAAGAATGCATATAACTCCTGAACCGTAAAATATACAGACCTGGGGTTGGTTTAGAACTATAGATCTCGGTCCGGGCTATTCGTTTTGCTATTTGGAAATCAAAATAGACCATGCCATCAGGGGATCGTAATCTCGCCAAATTTGCATTCAAGGATTTGCCATGGTAAATCTTACTTGAAGACTCCATTATTTCATAGTAATACGTGCCCTGCTGTTCTCTATCCAACGACGAAAACCGCAGGTCTCTATCATTTTCCTTTCAAAAGTTATAAAAATTCTGCCCAAGCGACTTATTTTCAGAAATGGATAATAGTCTATTTTTTAAAGCTACGAATATTATAATAATCTCCAGTTAAATAAACAAATATTATTTCAACATATTTATCGATCCTAGAATTTTCTTATAGAGTATTTTTAACGATTTCTGAACAATTTCCCAATATATATCTTGTTTAAGGATATGTACTAAAAAGTCTCATTAATGAGCACTCAAGTAACTTAGAAAAAATAAGACAGTCGATTCGTAACAGATAGCAGTCCAGTTCGCATCAATCGACAATAATTGTAAATTGTGAAAGAAATTATTCAACTCGACCATGAATTAAAAGCGTTGTGCTCAATAGAATACTTTCTTTTTCTGATAGATCAACAGATAATAATACCACGACAGAATACTCCTTATTAAAATGCTTATGCCAATATTTTTCTTCTATCATAAAGAACTTTCTTTCCTTTTAATTAGTATAGATATACCGAATCTGACAAAGTTTTGCGACATTTTTTGTTTTGTATGTATCTCTGTTCAGGAGCATTACAAAATGTTAATCTTTTTTTCAAAAGATGCGCCGTGGAATTCTCTACAAACTTTCATGTATCTTAGTTTAGAACAATAGAAGTGAACATTTTTATAGGTCTCAGAGTGTAATTATGTGAATTGAGCCTACTTTCCACACATTTTTTTAGCAGTTTATTCTTTTCGTGAAAATGAATATTTAGCTCTTAGACTATGATTTACTGCTAGATAGCTCTTGAAATCCTCTGTCGTTGATTTATGAATACGAAGCTTTTAAAAGCTCTTTGTTTCGGTTAGACGCATGGTCATATTTTGAAAATAACGCGATTTTCATGCTTGGTTACGTCTTTTTCAAAGAAAGTATTCTAGAAATGTCACATATGACTAAAGCGTTCCTATTTTTGCACTATTTCGTAGAAAATTTATTTTTCTTTCTATGGAGAGCCTTAATAACGCGTGGGAAAAGAATTCAGCTGGAAGAAGAATCCGAAGAATGTCAAGAAAGCCGTTTTAGTCGTAGTAGATCTGACAAGTCATAGTTTTTAGACAAATGCGGATTCTGATCAAACACTTACAAATAATTTTAAAAGAGCATTTGATATACATTCAGATTACAAATAGAAAGTCTCTCTCGAGCCTGTTTATAACTTAGACAGATCGTTGGAACAACAGAAAATAATGTGTGCCCAGGTCGATGATTACGGCCGTATATCATCGTCAACTACCGTAATTTGCGTCCAATAAATGAAATCCCATTAATTCATTTCCCAGCCAAAATTTTGTGGACACCTCACTCAGTTTTGACACTGTATCCAACCACAAAATGAAAAGCGAAGAAGCATGCTGAAAAACGCCTTTGAAAGCGTTTCTCAAAAAGACGCCTTTAAAGACGTTCAAAGTCAAATTCTGTCAAACCTCTTTTCACCCATAAACGTCTTTAACCGCGTTTTTCCACCAAAACATCTTTACCCAAGCAGACAAACATTTTCAAAAACGCGTTTAAACGCACAAAAAAGGACTTAAAATCCAAAAAAAGTGGACGTGTTCCGCTCACAATCGTGGCTCCCAACTGTCAGCGAAAAACAATCACTTTTTGCCCTTTTTGTGCGTTTAAACGCGTTTTTAGCAAAAAAAGATTGTAAGCGCGTATAAACGCATAAAACGAACATAATAAGTAGTGTTTTTTTTGCATTTTCGTGACCTGGGATTGTAATTATGATTGTGATTTACGATTATGAAAAAGATAACAACTTTTCTTGATCGTTTTATGTATTTACAAGCGTTCTTTCGCTGAAAACTCGTTTCAAAGCACAAAAAAGACAAAAAGTGGTTGTTTTACGCTGACAGTCGGGAGTCGCAATTGTGAGTCAAACACTTCCACTTTTTGGGATTTAAAGCCCTTTTTTGTGCGTTTAAGCGCGTTCTTGAAAATATTTGTCTGCTTGGGTAAAGATGTTTTGGTGGAAAAACGCGGTTAAAGACGTTTATGGGTGAAAAGAGGTTTGACAGAATTTGACTTTGAACGTCTTTAAAGGCGTCTTTTTGAGAAACGCTTTCAAAGGCGTTTTTCAGCATGCTNGGATTTGTCTGTAATGCTCTCTTTCCCGTTGCTAAGTGTCTGTAATGGGGACGGGGGGAGCCGCCAACACTTGATCTTAAAACTTACACTCACTATTTTCTTCGAAAACATACGTGAGTTCCACAAAATAAATAATATTAATAGTCTTTTGATTTAATGTTAAAGTTAATATAACAAATCAGCAATTAAATATCACTAACCGAGGACTGTAATATGTTGATATCAATTTCGATCTTCGCACGTGTAAAAAGTTTTTCATTTTCACTTGTTAATAAAAATTTTGTGATAGAAGTCGGTCTAAGGTGTATGTTTGACTAGTTAGTTGTTATCAGGCTTCAGCGTTGTATGGTTAAAGTTCTCACCTTTCTCTGATGCGAAGTTCATCAGAAAGGATTGAGTTTTGCTAGCAGAGGTGTTCAGAACCTTCCACACTTCAAAAATATGTTCTGGAGCGTTAGGATACCCAGGTCGATCAATCCGACACGGATCCGATGGTATCTTATAGGATCCAACGAGTCCTACAAAATCCAATCGAAATCCGAGTCACGATCCGACGAACAAATCCTAGTGTTGGAATCCGAGAGACATCCGATCGGATCCGACAGAGATGGGTGTGGGTGTGGGGTATGGCTGTGAGTGTTGGCCTGCTCTTCACGGACATTCACACCCACATCCTACCCTAATATTATATAAATGTGCTAGAATATTTCATTGCGTTGGCTACTAATCAACGAAAAGAAAACATCAACGTTTTTTTTTCGTTGCTAAACTTAACTTTAGTTGAAAAGCTGCACTTCTCAAATATCTTACCAGAAGCTCCAAAGTTTCCTAAAGAAGAATCAGCCCTTTCTGGTTCTGTCACTGAGCGAAATGGATAAATAAGCTAAATAAACAAATCAGCTATCATCTTCCAGCGGCAAAGATATTCCATTGTATATTTTGACATCTGCATTTTTGCCTAAAAAAACGAAGTTTTGGATTGAAAATTTAGAAAAAATATGGTCGACAAGTGACCTGTCTGACTTGTTTGGTGTATTGGCCTGACCTGTGTCTGTCTCAGGCAGGCATAATCGTCTGTTTGAACTTCTGGTGAACATACAGAACCTTTATAAGAAAATATCTTGTAATGTCAGACTCATTCTGTAGTCATATACTTTTTATAATTATGTAAGGTAACAATAAAATATATATTTCGAAAACATAATTTAGTGTTACTTTTTCATTGTTATTAGATAATTCATTGTAATTTGATGATTAATTAACATATTTTTGTAACCATTTGAGTTCTTCTCGGATTTTTATTTTCCCATGTAAAGGATTAAAATCCATTGCATGTCCTTCATTTGGGAAAGTAATAAGTCTTACTGGTATTTCTCGATAATAAAGTGCACGTTCCAACATATAACTTTGACTAGCAGGAATTCGCATATCATTTTCAGCCGTGATGATATGTGTAGGCGTTCGTACTTTGGTCAACTCATAAATAGGTGACTTATTTTGATATATATACGAAACTTCCCATGGAAATCCTCCAAAGAAGTACTTATGAAAGGCTGGTGTATCCATCGTACCTCACGCAGAAGCATGATCAACGATGCCAGCACCGGAAAGATCAGCATTAAAACGTTTAGTTTGTGTAATCAGCCAGTTTGTGAACGAACCACCATAACTATAACCACCAACAGTAAACCTATGTGAATCAGCAATTCCATCTTTGATTAACTGATCAACTCCTGAAAGTATATCTTTTCCAGGCCGAGAGAAAGGTTTGTAACGAACTTCAGCTAGAAATTGATCACCATATCCTGCTGATCCTCGATAGTTGGGGTCTAAGACTAGCCAACCTTCTGAAGCAGCCATTATAGCCCAATAGAAGGCATTTGCCAAAAATTGATTGAGAACTGGATCAGTCGGATCACTATGAATAAGAACTAAAAGTGATAGATTTTTTGATTGAAATTGTCCAGGTGGATAATGTAACATTTCTTCAATTATTTGATTATCATCTTCATTTTTCCAACTATACACTCTAGCTTTTGGCAATCTCGTTGAGTAAACAGTTTACTAAAATCTGTTATTGCTTGTGATGATTGAAGTTGATCAATATTATTAATAAAATAAACTTCCATAGGTTTTTTCACTGATGAATAAACAAATGCAATTGAATTGTTATTACGTGATGATACAATAGATCGATATGTACCATTTCATCCATTATGATGAATCAAAACTTTTTATTGATGATTGTTGTGTATAAACATGTGCTTCTGTTCCTAATTGTTCAATTACATAAACACTATCATCTTTCTTAATTGTATATTCCATAATGCTACCAAAGAAATTTTCTGCTAAAAACGTTCTATTTGTCCATTTGTTTACAGAATAAAGACGATTTTGTGTATTATTAAATTTTTTTTAGTAGAACCTAGAGGCCATGATATAAATAGTACTTGTTTACCATCAGTTATAATTGTAAATCTTGTTCAAATATTTTATTATTCGTCAATCTTACTGATGATGACAATGTATTATGAAGGTCAATTACATAGAGTTCAAATGCATTCAAATTTTCAAAGTCTCTTGATATGGTTGAATATACCAATTTTTCTTCCAATGGAACAAATAAACGTTCGTTAATTAGAAAAGAAACATTATTGACAAAATTTCTTTTCACAGTTAGCGTATGATTATTTTCAGTCAAATCAATCCGATAGATTGTTGTGTTTTCAGACACTTTGTTTTTTCGATATTGATTAACATCATACCATTCATCGTTATCTAAATCATTATATTCAACAGTTGATCATATATTCATTGTAGCCAAGTACAAGACTGAACTATTGTTTGACCATGTCCAAATTAATGGAATGTCATTTTCAATATGAATAGGTTATAATTCATCTGATACGACAGAATATAAATAAATATACTATTCCAGTTGTTGTTTGTTTTGATGATCATTTATTCTAGCTATGGACGGATATTTATTTAATGATAATGCAATCCAATTACCACTGGGTGGCTATTTTGGTTTAATTGATGAATGTAGATTGCGAGTAATCAATTTTCTTGTCTTGTTTTCAATATCATATAGGCACAAAGCCTGTTCGAAAGACCTGATATTCCACGATGGACGAGTTGTGTGGATAAGTAAATGTTTATCAGTCGGTGACAAGCTTATCAAAGGATAATATGTATAATCGAAAAATTCATCCAATGTTAGCTTAGGTTTAGTACCGATCGAGAAACATGATATTAGTTGTAAAGATATAAATATGTTTAGTCTAATAATCATCATTAGAATTAATTTAAAAATCGAAATAAGTAAATGTACTATAAATAGAAGACCCTAATATTGCAGAGTATCAATGATANACTTTTAAACCAAAAACTCACATAATAACTACGCCCAGCGACTGTTTTTACTAACTGCGACAATTCTACTAAAGTCCAACTGTTGATTTTACATGCATACGAGCCAGAATGTTGATCACTTGATATTACATCGCATGTTGAGTCCTTCGAGACACACGCACAATATTTTTTCATACTATTTATGTAGGGCTCGAAAAGCTCTCTTTTTGAAATCTCTTTACAAAATTGGTGTTCTTATCAGTCTTGAAAAATCTTCGTCAAAAACCGAGGAATGCACTGTTTGTGATTTTGACACTAACTTCTGGTTACCCTGAGTATGCAGAAAAATTGGAAATCGAGTTTTAAAAAGTCTAGTCTTCAGTCTTCCTTTCCCAAGTCTGAATTCACTACCTGCTATTTTAGTTCAACATATCGCAAGTTAAAATTAGAAAGAGCATGAAAAACTTTTTCTTGATCACGAGCGAGTTTTCGTGGTTTACAAAAAATTGAAATTGAATATCGTAAACTACACTTTCAATTTTATTGTAAATATGCATTTTAAAGTATACAATTTGCTCTATCTATAAGTGAAAAAGTTAGGCTCCTATCACTTTCTCCTTGAACACAATAGACCTCGATATTTGTACGAAAGCTTATGTATGGTAGATTATATGTGATAAACAAATCAAGTGATGTTTGTAGAAAATCGACAGGATTTCAAAAGTTTTAAGCATTGTGTTCATTGTTCTTCCAACCAAAACATGTTCTCCTTTACATCTAAAAAAAATTGTTACACTTTCTATGAAATTTCATAAAGATCTATTAAGACAACATATTCAATGATAAGAATTATTCATATTAGCTTTCTTCGTAATTATTTTAGGTCGATCATGCCCAAGAAAAACTTCTGAAAGATTGAACTCCTTCGTCTTAAGAATCCTCCATCCAATAAATACATATTGTATTCATTCAACTTTACAGCTATATCAAACATAGATATCTTTACATTTGCTTTTGAAGAAGATTCAAGTGGATATATAGACGATATATCAGTTTACGATATTCTTGCCAACGTTGAGCTTATCAAAGATGGCGGTTTTGAAAGCGATAGTATGAAAAAATATTGTGCGTGTGTCTCGAAGGACTCAACATGCGATGTAATATCAAGTGATCAACATTCTGGCTCGTATGCATGTAAAATCAACAGTTGGACTTTAGTAGAATTGTCGCAGTTAGTAAAAACAGTCGCTGGGCGTAGTTATTATGTGAGTTTTTGGTTTAAAAGTGAAGATAGACGGACACGCATCTCATTGTGTTCCTCAGTACGGCAGCTTATGTGAATGAACGTTCTTGATACTTATTTCTAACAAAATTTAATATTGTTTTGCTTTTAATCTAGACCATGTCAGTGACTCTGTAGTTTGTATTTTTACGGCAAATCTTGCTTTTGCTTAACTAAATCACTCTCGAAAATTTATCAATAATAACATTTCATTCATGACTTTCTGTTGAAGGGTGTGAGCGTACGTGAGCGTGGATGTTGATCTTCCGTTTATGAACGATCATAGTAGAACGACCACATCGTACACTCACACTTACAACATCCTTCGTTGGATTTATGTAAAGGTAATGACGTCAGTTGTTCGATTATCTTCATTTCTTGTGTGTCAACTCAATTGTTTTAAGTTTTGTTTTTGGTATAGTCCAGTCTCATTTTTTTCTTCTATTTGTTAGTTTTTCTAAAGAAGATAAGAGATAAGTGAATCTTCAACAAATATCTTTTCATTCTCTAACCTGCCTGTGTTTCTAGGTCAGAGTCGCTATCGAATAGAGGAATAATAAAAAACGAAAACATTCACACTTTGAACTTTCGTTTTTCTGTTTTTTTTTATCTAGTTTTAATTTCTGCCTTCTAAGCCATTCTTTCTCTTCTTTTTCTTTATCTCCAATCGAAATTTGAAGGCACATGGCTTTCAAAAGTGTGCACCAATGTTCGTTTAGTAGGAGGCACTGACAATAAGAGATAAGGAAAGAAAAAATTTGCTGAGAATAAGGTGAAGAATGGAAGAGAATGGTATTCAATTTCATGATTGGTGAAGAGAGGTAGTAGACACGAATGCATGCTATTCAATACAATCACTGGAGTGTTACTCTCAATTTCTCTTCCTCCATTTTATACTTGCATAGAAAATGAAAGTAAAATTGATATGTACTTTTGTGCTTCGATGATTCTTGGTGGGAGTGTGTATCGAAAATTTCTTTACATCCGCTATTCGAATCATATTTTTCTATTTCTCTCAATGATGTTGGAAAAATAGTTAATCATACATCAAAATGCATATGGTAGATTAAGAGGATTTTTGAAATAAAATATTTTAGTGATATATATCTAGAGAATAGATCAATGTATTTGTTAGGATCTACATTGTAAAAATTTCAGATTATGAAAAAACTTAAGCTAAAAACGAATAATCGGCTTTGATCACCATTCATATCGTATCAATTTTCTTGAACATAAAAAAAAAGCTTTATTATCGTTTTGTTCGGCAAACAAACAATTCAGTCGCAGGTATCTGTAGTGATCCATGATGGTAGAACTCTCATAGTTATGCATCAATGTACTTAAATGAATATTTCGAATTTTTTTCCACCTATTTAACCGATAATTTTTATTTTAAGAAATACTAAAATGCATCCATATGAGTCTTGAATTTGCTTTCAAATGAAAACTCTCGGTTATCAGAGCTGTTTTAAGAGAATTCTTTCATTTCACAAATGTGAGAATGTTGTCTTTTTTATTTATTAGGGAAACTAAATAAAACTTTTCCTATTCTCTCTCAACTGTAGTCGTTTCATAAACGGAACTGGCAATGAGATACACTGATATCGAACAAGATTTTTTTTTCTATCTGATAAGTCTCACGAGGCTGCGATCAATCTAATCGAATCTGATTGCCATTTGAATATAGTATTTATGTAGATGATAAATATTGACAAATACACAAGGGGGAAATAGCAAGACGTCATCTACTTCCGAAGTATTTTGAAGTACAAGGAAGTATCATGGAAGTATGAGGAAGTATGATGGAAGTATGAGAGAAGTACGCACTCCTGAAGTCTTGCTTTTCCCCCCTTGCAAATACAACATGTCCGGTGCTCTTCTTCATCGTCAATCAGACGATGATGTAATGAATGATGAATATAAGTACTACTAACGATAACAATGACAATTACAATAATTTATTTCACCAATTCTTTACTGTTGTATTTTTAAATTTATCTCCATGTAAAACATTTAATGCGTGTTTGGATCGTAACATGATCATTGAGCCAATCACGAATTATCAATAGACATTATCATAAGCTTTTCAGATTAAGGTCTATCGAATATCAAAGACAAAGCAAAATTCAAAAATTTTTGCAGAGTTGAGGTGGATGGTAATCTTGCGAACCCTCTTTTGAAAATCTAATTGTTTTGCCATAGCAACAAACATTCTGCTGATTGGCAGGTTCATCCTCCTTTTGATCTTACAATTTCAGAGATAGCAGTATTCATTTTTATATAATATAAATGTGCTAGAATATTTGATTACACAGGCCTAATTGTCTGTATGAACTTCTGATGAGCATATAGAACTTTCATAAGACGATTCATCGAAATGTCAGACTCATTCTGTAATCATATACTTTTTATAATAATGTAGGGTAACAATAAAATATGTGTTACGAAAACATAATTTAGTTTTAATTTTTCATTGTTATTAGATAATTCACTGTAATTTGATGATTGATTACCATATTTTTGCAACCATTTGAGTTCTTCTCGAATTTTTATTTTACCATGTAAAGGATTAAAATCTATTATGTGCCCTTCATTTGGGAAAATAAGAAGTTTTACTGGTATTTCTCGATAATAAAGTGCACGTTCCAACATATAACTTTGACTAATAGGAATTCGTACATCATCTTCAGCTGCGATGATATGTGTAGGCGTTCGCACTTTGGTTAACTGATAAATAGGTGATTCATTTTGATATATATACGGAACTTCCCATGGAAATCCTCCAAAGAAATACTTATGAAAGACTGGTATATCCATCGTACCCCATGCAGAAGCATGATCAGCAATGCCAGCACCGGAAACGGCAGCATTAAAACGTTTAGTTTGTGTAATTAGCCAGTTTGTTAATGAACCACCATAACTATAACCACCAACAGTAAGTCTATGTGGATCAGCAATTCCATCATTGACTAATTGATCAACTCCTGAAAGTATATCTTTTCCAGGTCCAGATAAAGGTTTGTAACGAACTTCAGCTATAAATTGATCACCATATCCTACTGATCCTCGATAATTAGGTTCTAAGACCAGCCAACCTTCTGAAGCAGCCATTGTAGCCCAATAGAAAGCATTTGCTAAAAATTGATTAAGACTTGTATCAGCCGGACCACCATGGATAAGAACTAAAAGTGGTAGATTTTTCGATTGAAATTGTCCAGGTGGATAATGTAACATTCCTTCAATTATTTGTTCATCATGATCATCATTTCTCCAGCTATATACTTTAGTTTGTGGCAAATCTCGTTGAGTAAATAGTTTATTAAAATTTGTTATTGGTTGTGATGATTGAAGTTGATAAATATTATTGATAAAATATACTTCCATAGGTTTTTCAAATGATGAATAAACAAATGCAATTGAATTATTATTAATACGTGATGATACAATAGATCGATATGTACCATTCCATCCATTATGATGAATCAAATTTTTTGTTGATGATTGTTGTGTATAAATATGTGCTTCTGTTCCTAATTGTCCAAGTATATAAATATCATCATCATTTTTTATTGTATATCCCATAATACTACCAAAGAAACTTTCTGCTAAACGTTCTATTTGTCCATTTGCTAAATTTACAGAATAAAGACGATTTTGTGTATCATTCAATTTTTTTCTGGTGGAACCTAAAGGCCATGATATAAATAGTACTTGTTTACCATCAGTTGATAATTGTAAATCTTGTTCAAATATTTCATTATTCGTCAATCTTACTAATGACGATGTATTTCGAAGATCAATTAAATTGAGTTCAAAAGCATCCATATTTTCAAAGTCTCTTGATATGGTTGAATATATCAATTTTTCTTCTAATGGAACAAATAAAAATTCACTAATTAGAAAAGAAACATTATGAACAAAATTTCTTTTCATAGCTAGTGTATGATTATTTTCAATTAGATCAATCCGAGAGATTGTTGTGCTTTCAGATACTTTATTTCTTCGATATTGAATAACATCATACCATTCATCTTTACCTAAATCATTATATTCAACAGTTGACCATATATTCATTGTAGCTAAGTAAAAAACTGAATTATTATTTGACCATGTCATAGTTAATGGAATGTCATTTCCAAGATGAATAGGTAATAATTCGTCTGATATGACAGAATATAAATAAATATATTGTTCTAATTGTTGTTTGTTTTGATGATCATTTATCCTAGTTATGGATGGATATTTGTTTAATGATAATACAATCCAATTACCATTGGGTGACCATTTTGGTTTAATTGATGATTGTAAATTGCGAGTAATCAATTTTGTTGTCTGTTTTTCAATATCATATAACCATAAGGCATGTTCGAAAGAACTAATATTCCATGATGGACGAGTTGTATGAATAAGTAAATGTTTATTAGTTGGTGACAAACTTATCAATGGAAAATATGTATAATCGAAAAATTCATCCAATGTTAGCTTAGGTTTAGTATCAATCGAGAAACATGAAATTAACTGCAAAGAGACAAATAAGTATAGTCTGATAATCATCATTATAATTAATCTAAAAATAGAAATAAGTTAATATAATTACTATCAATAGACAACCTTAGTATTGTAGAATAATTCAACTTATGTAATTATTTGTAATAGATATTTGATATATAAAAGAAGAACAAAAAATGCATTGCTTAATATCTACTGTAGGTATAAACTAATAATATGAAATAAATCTCGAATAAAACAAATTTAACAGCTAAAAAAAATGAAATCGGAAGCATCTAAAATTTTATTTGGTTCTCTCTAGAGATAAACTTAATCTAAAGTATCTCATTTTAATCATCAAAAGTGTATCAGTGAACAATAATATGTGAGAAAGTGACTGAGTTCGACAATATATCGTAGCAAAAGTAGGTAAAAAATAAATGAAAACATTAAATGATTATGATACCAACTTACTATTAATATGAAAGGACAAAATTTCTCACTTTATATTGTATCGACATCTTTTAATCCAATACCTTCTTTCTTAAAATTAATAGATATTTTAACTGAAACAGATATTCTCTATCATTTAACTTTCAAAATGTTGCACAGCTCTTATCTATCGTCTTGATAGATATCGTTTGTCGTCTCAAGGTGAAGTAAATACTACATTATCAGAAAGTAAATTATAAAATAAAGTACCATAATGTCTTTTCAGGTTTATCGATGACTATTTGATTAATGTTCGAGAGGATTAAATTGCTACGACTCCATACTTGTTTTTCACGAATTTATATTTATAATTACATTGCACATTTTTATCTCAATTTGTCAACCCACAAAAATAATTTATCAAATAATACTGTCATTGACTATGGTGTGCAAAAATGTGCTTTTAATCAGCTTACATCAATTGCAAGAGCTAGAGGTCGTTTACTAGATTTTTATACATCAAATGACATTGCAGTTACTTATATTACTGTTTCTTCAAACAATGATTTTAAATAATTTCAAAAACAAAAATGTTCTCGATATTGTCATTCTATTTCGTTCTTATTCCTCTCTCTCTCTCTCTCTCTCTCTCTCTCTCTCTCTCTACGTAATTGTTTCGAGCTGTTAATATTTTTTATTCAAGTACATACAAATTGGCCAAGGTTTTTGCTTATTCTTCCCACTTTTATACATTAAGGGAACATTTCAAAATTTTTGTCGGCCGGCCGACCGCTTTGTCGTTCAACCACTCTGCCTCTATGCCGCTCTACAGTTCTACCACTCTGCCGTTCTCATGCCGCGGCATAACGAATTTATTTTAATTACATTTTCACATGTTGTTCGGTTCTTTTGATGTATGTACATATTCACACGAAGTATATTATTCTCTTTATATTCAATATTTTTTTACTCTACAATATTTATATCCTCAGACAACAGCCAATTTTTTTCTGTTTCAGAATTTCTGTATGTAAATAAGTTAAATTTATTGAATATTCAAAATGATTACAATAATCAAACATTAGTATGAACAACTTCATTAATATTCAAGTGAAATAGAACGTCTTTTTCGTTTTACAATGTTCTTGATTTGAGTTGAAGATCGTTTAAGTTTCGTTGTTGGTAGATGTATCCATTGATTATGTCTATCTTCATCTGCTTTTGATAGAAATACGTATGGTAAGTTGCATTTTGAACATCTAGCTTTTGTTCAAGATAGTAAATTTTGATCTGGATAAAGATTTTTTTCACATGATAAGATAGAATGTGATCTTTGTAAAAATGTATCGTAATGTTGATTGCTATATATCATTGTTGGCCAAGGAATATCTCCACCACCAGCACGAAGTAAAGATATTGTTTTTGTAGCACGAACTGGATAACGAGAACAGTGTACACAATGTTTATCATCGCATTTAATAAATGATATATAATATGTGGAACGAACACAATGACGAAGGTAGAGTTGTAAACTAAATTGAACATTTGGATTTTCTTGTATTCGTACTTGTGATTTATTCATTAATAAATTCTTTAATTCTTCATGTCCTTCAAATATATTTGCATTAACAGAAAACATTGGATGACAATCAATTTTATAATTATAATAATTTTTATTATTCCAGTATTTACATAAATCAATTAATGACATATCTAGTTTCTGCGATGTATCTTTAAATGATGTATCCAAATCAATAATAACACCTTGTAAGAGATCAGTTAATCTTGAGAACATACTTTCAATTGGATTAAAACGATTATGTCCAGGAGCATAGCTGACCCATATCAGAGCATCGAGTCTTTGTTCTTCCCAAAATCGTCCTAAATTATAAATGTTTGCCGTACAATCAGTATTCCAATCTGGTCTATTATCAGATATCATTGTAATAACACTTTTATGAAATAACATATTGTTTTCTGATGTTATCTGTTGTATATTGTTTATATAAACTTCACTTGTTGCTTTAATTGATCGATCGATTCCAGAACCAAATGGACGAATAAATAATTGTCCTGTTCTATTCCATATAACATGATCAAAGTCTCTTTTATCAGTCGTCTAGATCAACAAAAAACAAAATATTGATTAGCTTTTAACTTTTGACGGTGAAGTAAATAGAATAGTTAGCTGACCAGAATAGTACGTTGTTTTATATTTGAAAATCACATGATCTTGATCTTTTCTTGATTTTTAATTCATATGATGGATGACTATCAACACTAGATGAACGTTTCCGAGTGTCTGATAAGACAACATATGCCGATGGAATGATTCTAATACCATGTCTTGGATAATTATGGTCAGGTAAATTTGGCTGATTTTCAACTAGATGAAATTTTCTACTTCTTACGTAACGACTAACAGCTGGTGCGCCTAAAACGACATGTTTCGAAATTTATTTCCTTATGTGCACGACCTCTCTTATACTGTGAAGGAAATAGAGTGTGAAAAAGAAAATTGACACTTCCGATCAGTGACATTATAGCACTATTTTATGTTTCCTGCCAATAATACCACTGAACAATATTTATAATTCGCTTATAAGCCACTCGACAGAAAAAAAAATCTACTTAACCAAAGAGAATATGTTACTAACCACGGTTTCTCTCTTTCCTCGAGAAGCTGTTTCTCATGAGCAATTGACAGTTCCTCATCTCTTTCATCTTCTGATTTTTTTTTATATTCTCTTCGCTTTTCTCATCAACATGTGCATTTTATCCTATCGCAGACAACATAAATATATACACATTTTATAATCACAATCATATATGATAGAAGCTAAGCAAAATAAATATTTACAGTAAAATGCAATGTCGCAGCTAATATAACAGATTCACTCAGATGTAGCGAACTCCATCGTAATTTTTTGTAAATAAAACTCATGTAAACTAATATATGAAGATTATTATGCTATATCTGACCACTGTTCTGTTTCAATTCACAATAAGCTAGAAATTTTCATATAGGAATCAATCTATTATATTAGCCGCAATATTTCATTTTACTGCCGATAGATAATCCGTTCCATTTATTTCCTATGTCATTAAGGGTGTGGGTGTGGGTGTGAAGCAGGAAAAGAACCATCCACATCCACACCCACACCCCACACCCACCCCACACCCACACCCACACCCACACACCCACACACCCACACCCACACCCACACCCACGCCCACACTCACACCCACACCCACAGCCACACCCACACCCACACCCACACCCACACNCCTGTAAGTTCGAACAAAATAAAAAGTTTGAGTTAGATATAATTTATAAATAAGCTAAGAATTACTATCTAGTAGATATAATATTAAGAACTCCACCTAATGAAGTCTAGCCAAGACAGAAACAACCGTTGTCGTGGAACGACGATCATTCTATATCCCACACCCACCCTCTATAACTTTTCATTGAAACATTAATCTTTCTTCACAGTAGTATCCAAAATACAATTAAAGAAATTTGTTTAATGGTCGAGATGCATATGCACAGAAGAGAATTTTAGGACACTACTTTTTACAATACTTAGTTTTATAGAGTAGTCGATAACAATGACGATTTTATTTGTGAGAGTCATTATAACTCTAAACTGACCATCCTGTTCTAGATCGTCATAATAGTATTGTGACAGGTATACATAGATACATTTGATATTGTCACCAATTGTTGCAGCAAAGTAAAGTAGTACATAAATAGTCTTAACCATTCAGTCGAGGGCCAAACGAGTCAAACCAACGAGCATTACTTGTAAATTATATCTAAAGAAAACTTCATCTTTTCCTTTTCTCCTAAATTACAGGACTATGCCTATCTATACATCACTTATAAATTATACCTAAAGGAAGCTTTTTCTTTTCCTTTTCTCTTAAATTACAGGACTATACTCATCTATACATTATTTATAAATTATATCTAACTAAAACTTTTTATTTTGTTCGAAATTACAGGACTACTCCTACATTTATGCCGTCTATAAATTATATCTCAGTAAAACTTTTTCTTTTCCTTTTTTCTAAACTTGCAGCACGGGAGTATATATGTTCATATATCACTTATAAATTATAACTAAGAAAAACTATATCTTTTCCTTTTTTTACCTAAGAGGAAACTGGCTTTTGGTTTTCTTCATTTATTTTCGAATTAGAAGTAGACAACGCATGATTTTATGAGACCCTAAAAACGTTAAACTCATATAAATATTAAAACATTTTCCATCTTTTTCCAACAAATATTGGAACAACTTTATCGCAAGGTAATTTTCAATTGCAATAAAATTTATCTTTATCTTTCTGTCTCTGATTGTAGAAAAAACGTACCTCAATTTTAAATTATAATTAAGGCAAAACTTTATCTTTTCCTCTTTTGCCAGAGTTATACGATGGTCCCTATCTAAATTATAATTTATAATTCGAAAAAATTTTATCTTTTGCTCGTGCCTGATAGACACTGATGGAGTTTTAGAAATTTTCATTCATATTCGAACTCGAATTAGACAGCTACTCCTTATCATTAAAGATCCATGCAAATGATCGTCTGATTGTCAATGGGTAAGTAATCGAATATTCCAAAAAACATTTCTGCTAGATTCATCTAGTTTTATCTGAAACCGAATCAAAGTGTACAAGTCAAACTAATTGCATTCATTTAAAAATGAGTTTAATAGAAAAGCAGAAGTTGAAGCGAACGTTTGATATTCACGATGATACTACTCATACTCAGACGTACAAGCGTTTCCAACTTTGACGGTGTAAATGTTAATTGTAAGTGTTCAAATGAATGACTATAACGATGTTGCATTTGCCCGCGTATAGTTAACTCGGTTCTTTTTGTGCGCATAACAAAAAAGAAGGTGTTTGTTCTGCAGTAGCACTCATTCATTAAACGACACTAGTATCATTAGATAATGCTTGACACACCCATGGATAGGAAACGGAATTTGAAGCATGCACCGTAGACTATTTTAAGATAAAAAAAAACTGTTTAACTATCAGTGTATTAGTGAGAAATCACATTCTTTTAGAATGTCGTCGTTAATATCACAGGATATTCTTGCTGTTTCAAAACAAATATCAATCTATGGCAGTTTTATTGTTTTATTTGGTGGGCTTATTGGCAATATCCTCAATATTCTCGTCTTTACACGTCTTAAGCTATTCAAAAACAATCAATGTGCTTTCTATTTCACTGTTGAAGCTATTTCTAATTGTTGCCAATTAGTTATCGCGTTCACGTCGCGCATTGGCATCAATGTATTTGCCTACGATCCAACACAAACATCACTTGCTTGGTGTAAACTGCGACTAGCGATTACTCAAGTCTTTGCTATTACCTCACTGTCATCAGTATGTTTCACTGCTTTCGATCAATATTTGTCAACAAGCTATCATGCTTCACTAAGACAAATGAGCACACTCAAATTGGCCCATCGACTATCGTGTATTAGTATTCTGGCTTCGATCTTACATGGCATTCCCTTTATTATCTTTTACGAAATTCAGCCATCATCTGGTTGTAACATCTACAACATTGGATTTTCACGTTACTATTCATTTTTTTACATTCTCGTTCTCGTCGGTCTTCTCCCTATTCTTGTTTCGCTAACGTCCAGCGTAATGGCCTATCGAAATGTACGTCATTTAATTCGACGCCAAATACCTGTTGTTCGCCGACGACTCGATCGACAACTCACTGCTATGGTTCTTCTTCGTGTGGCTTTTCTTGTTAGTTGCATGTTACCATATGTTGTTCAACGCATCTATGCACAAAACGCAATTGTCAATCGAAATGATTTCATTCGAGTGGCAGTCGAGCAACTCATTGCCAATATTGCTATTCTATTTGTGTACTCGAACTATGCGGTAAGCCTACCTTTTTGTTTTGTTTAAAGTCTGTTATATTGTAACTTGGTTTAGTGGTCGTTCTACATCTTTCTGATATCATCGACACGATTTCGTCGTCAAGTAAAACATGTTTTGATCAAAGAATGTTGGCGAAGAATTAAAACAACGACGAACGAAAGTATTAGACCACAAACGAATGCAGTTGCTCCGATATCACATGTTTCAAGCGTAGAAGCTGACTAACTCACCAGAAGAATGCTAAAGGACAAATCGACAATTGATGCTTTAGTCGTGTTTATATGTAGAACTATAGTAACTCTCAATCAACAAATAAATATTCGATGCGGAATGGCATTGTGATCCATACCATGGGATTGTTCTATGGCGTGTCAATCATCATTACACATGAGATCTTTGGATCGACTGATATAAAGCTTATCTTCTAAAGTTTGACGAGTTTTGTACACTGTGAGAAAAAGATTCCGGTCTCTCATATTGTTGTTCGAGACATAGAGGTTTCACAAGTTTTACCCATATAACAATGAACCTGACAACGAATGATATCTTATTGTCCAAACTTGTTCAAGACCGCAATAGCCAATTTCAATTCTAATTACACCTTCTTACTTCTAATACCTTAGTGCATGTACACGGAGTATGTCGTTTCCCCCTTGGTTTAAAAAAAATAGCGATTTTCTTTCTAAAAGTAGGCGTTGAAACGCTGTGTTATATAAAAACAAAAACTTGTGGAGAGAAACTATATTGTGTACTTACTGAAACTTCTATTCTTTATTCCCTAGACTGAAAGGAGGGTCATACGAAATAAAATGCATTTGTTTGTTTGCTTGATTGCTCAGGATCAAAGGTCAAAAAAACATTTCTCAAAGGTTAGCTCATTTTAAGACTTTTCGACGTGCTGATCGAACTTTGCTATAGGTTATCGATGACCCGGAATCCGAATCCGGAGGCGCTTTTTTTGGCCGAACTTTCATTGGTCGGGAACAGGCCAATCAGAAACAAACTTGTTCGCGTTGATCGAAAGAATTTAAAATCCACATGCAGTTGATG